GAAGGATCAGGTATCAATAATGGATGCTTTTATTATTCTAAAGCTGTTTCAATCTCATTTTTAGTTGGGCAAGTACTTATATAGGACTGAAAGGGCTTTTATACAGAGATACGCTACATAATTTGTTTTGCATGCTCATTTGAAATTCTAAGAGAAACTTACTGGGACCTGAGCTGAGAAAGTCTTCCTAAGCAAATTAAACTATAATAGTGATCTAACATATGCTTTCAACCATCTGTGCTTTGCTGAGTTATAAAATTTCTATGAGAGTTTGTTTTGATGGTGCAAGAGGCATGTTCTCATGCTTTCTATGCATGAAAATACAAATGAAGTGATATTACACTCCCACTCCGTAAATGAAAACCATCTAGCCTCTTTTCTGTAGGAGACAATGCAATACTGCCACCCCATATCCTCTCCACTTGCTAAACCCCAACGGGTCCAAGTCTTAGGAAAAAAGAAATACAGAGAATGACCTTCTCTCATCCATATGAATTGCCTTTTTCATCACCTTCTTCTGTTAAAGCAAATATTACTAATAAACATTCTGTATGTCTGATGTTCATGTTTAATAAAAGCTAGAAAAAGCTTAGAGAGCTCATCCGACATAAAGAAGTAAGAAATTAATATTATGATTAATGATAACTTCTAGAACTAAAACTTTCTCCTGAAAGGAGATAACATGGGGTTTTTACAGGAAGAAGAGTAAGAGGACTCTAATACTAAATTTCTTTGATGTTTTAAAACATGCTAAACATATTTAAAGCTCTTTCCCTTACTGTAAATATGAAGTAATGAAATTTTGTCTTTATTAAGCTGGATGGTAAAACCACAACAGCTGCTTTCTTTATTTCCATAAAGCTTAGATCATCTTAATCATTAAGATTGAGCTTATAAGTGTTCATGCTCTTGAGAACCTTTCCACTAAACCTAAGCTTCTGTTCTCCTCATTTGGAAATTCAGCCAAATACTTGTAAATACAAAAGTAGCCCTTAGAGACCTCTGTCTGAAGTGTTCTCTGGACTATGAATTTTGCAAATGTGCATTAAACTTTTGAAGCTGGCATATCTTTGTAGGGCTGTTCAGTGTAAGTCCTGGATGTTCAAAGATTTGAAGGAAACATGCTCACTCATCTGCCTTTTATTTTCTGGTCAGTATTTCACTAATGTGTTGAGAAATGAGACTCACAGTGCCATATGTTTTTTATAAAATTAATGTGTTTGCTTACTAGATCATTTACCATGGGAAGCTGTTGAAATTGTAATTGACTGTTCACTTTGTAATAGGTATGACAAAAATCAGTCAATTTCTGCCTTCATCAAGCGTGGTGATGTTAGAGCTTTGGCTGAACCCCTTTTTTCCTGTTTTGGTCTCCTCTGTGGGTTTTGAAACTTAATCTCGCCTATTGCTGTTTTTCCAGTTTTCTGAAGAGGAAGGCAAGAAAACCAGAGAATGCACACAGCACCCTTCTTCCATACCCTAATGCCCATATCTGTGTTACTTTGTGTGACTAGGACCAGTCTTGTGGCCCTAGCATTATTCTAATTTTTTGTTGGTGTTATGAAGCAGCAAATAGGGATGTATTTTAGCAACTCAGTCCCTTTCTACCAATGGCTCTACAATGGAAGCCTCAGTTTAGGTTTTGGGTGGCTTGATTTTTATTTTCCCCATACTGCATCATTCATTCTTTACATTTGTTCATCTTGTTCACTATAGGATAATCAGAGCAGATTATGGGATGTGTCATGGTTCCCAGAAGTACTCTTTCTAAAAGACAATTTTTCCCAAAATGACACTGCAAGAGTAGGCAATGGGTACATTCTGAAATCACCCCCAGATATGTGCTTTTCTGGAAACCTGCTTTGGATATTCTTTTTTTTTTTTTTTTTTCATAAATGCCAGAGCTTAAACCTTTTATCTCTTTTAGTATCCTTGAGTTCTATGTCTCCTGAAGAGTATACACATAAAGAAACACATAGAAATGCAAACACACACCCATCCATTTTTCAGCAAGCCTGTTGGGACCTCCAGAAAAAGAAAGACACTCAAAAGCAAAAAACAATTGGATGCTTTTTGTGATCTCCCTCAACTCTGCTTTGTTCTTCAAGGTCAGGTGTCTTCTGCCACCTCTCAAAACAAACATAATAATAAAACCCATGCTTCTTGCCTCTCTGGCAGCACTGCTGCTCTTTAATAGCAAATAAAAGCAGTAACAAAGAAGTTTGTTGCCTTAGTAAGGATTTTTTAACCTGAAAATATTGTTGAAGGAATGATGAGGATTATATTTCAGATAGGATAAAGCAATGTAAAGGCTGGAAACCTTTGTGCTTAGCAGCATAAATCAGCCACTATTTTACATAACTAAGCAGTTCTTCACATCTAAAGAAGTTATCCTGTAATTTTGCCTTATATCCTTTTCTTGACTATCTAGAGAAGGTGATCACTTTCAAAGACAGAATATTGAACAAGATCCGTGGTGCTTCTGCTCTTGCACAGCAGATCAAGTGCTCAAATTCGAAGTGACTTATGACACAACTGTTATCCTTCAGTCCTGTAGCCTGTTTCTTCTGTCATCCTCTGCTGAGGTATGGCAGAGTGACAAGTCACCTAGATGTATTTAATGTGAAATTAAATATGTTGGGTTTTGTTACTTCTCTTCAATAACTTTTTGTTTTAATGGCATGTCATCTTAAAATATATACTTGAAAATACTTTTGAACCAGGGAGCATATTACTGTACACGTCACTTTATTATTTATTTCTGCTTTCTTCCCATACTGTCAAGCTACCAAAATTGCAGCAAAGAGATTCTGATTTTTAAGAGAACTAGGTAATGTTGCAGTGCAGGGTAAATAAAGTAACCGATAGTATCAGATATTACTATCTTTTTATTTTGTGTTTCCTACTGTTTTTTGAAGACATACATATATGCAGTCTGGCCCACAGTATGTTTCTGTATTTGCACAGGAAAATGCTAAATTATTTTCTTTTCTGGCCTTCCATATCTCAGCTGTTTTAGTGGATCCTTTTGCATTCTGATCTGTAGCAGGTAACAACCTGTTATGATAAATGATGGAAGGTTGGTTTTAAATGCCAAAGCCATGGAGTTTTCCATACACTTGGTACTAAGGGCTTGATGTTCTCAGCCTGCTGCATACATATCTTTCATCCCGATTTCACTGCAAACAAGTTGAGAGTTTGAGTTGGAAGGGAGCTAAGACAGTTCTTTGCCTAATCACTTCTAAAGGCGTAATTCCCCTTAGAACATGCAAACTCGTAATTACGTTTGAATGTCTAACCTAACTGCTGGAAATACAGGAGAAAATTCAATTTCTAATTCTTGTGTGGAACTGTTATTTCTTTCTCAAGAAAATTTGAATTATGACAGTTACATTGAAATCGTTGTGAAGTTTTTGCTTTCATGAAGAGTAGATATTAATGGCTACCGATGACAGTTATGCAGAATAATCTAGGCTAAAACTCATGCCTGTGCTGTATGTCTGCACTGCCTCAATGTTTAGGCAAACAGCAAGTAAAAAAGGTAGATGCATCTGCTTCCTTATATCAACTTCTTGAAAAGAATTCTAGCTGCAAGAGGGAGACTGTGCAGCTCAAAGTACGAGACAGGAGAGCTACACAAATATTTTGAAATGAGTTGTGTGTAATACAGTAAGTATCTCAGTATCCAAGATCCTAGTTTTAAACAGTTTGACTTAAAACATATTTTTAGGGGTTGCTATTTTCTGGAAATTCTGGAGGACTTTTCCATGAGATTTGAGCTCAGTTCCAGATTCAGGAGAAATGGCATACTTAGGGCTAAGTGCTGTACTCTTCTATTAATGTCAACAGCAGCTGTGCATGAATATCCAAGGAGAGACTTTTTCCCTCAGGTTATGTTCTACTTTGATGTTCCTATACTCTATAGCCTTTAAAGTTAATGGGAGTTATATGCTATGGCATGCATCAAGGAAAAAGATACACCCTGCAGTTAGATATAGAAACATTCCTCTTCATAGACCAGTACTGGGCACCATGTTGACGCTGCTGAATAACATATCTTGAAGGAGGCTCTGAATTAGCAACTTGTGTACTTATTTGCATCTGTCATTCTAAACAGAAATAGATATGTTGAGTTTGTCATGGCAATCAGGAGACTAACAACAAATTTTTACTGTGCCATGGCAAATCAGTTCTGCACCCTGCAACTGGCAACTCCCTAGCAGAGTGCTGTCTGAGACGGGGACTAAACCAGCAAGTGCTTATCTACTGTGATTTCCCTCATGATTCTGGAGGTACATCTGTGCCTAGAAGTCATCTTGCCACTACATAGTGTTCAGACAAGACTAGATTTTCTACTTTTATATCATGTATGTCCTTGGAGTAGAACTTCTTTATAATTTTCCATCATTCCTTTCAACACTGAATAAGCATGCATGTGTGTGTTTACACACATTTCTCAATGAGTTTATATATGCCTTTGATGAACCTCTTTGCTAGGCTGTGAGACCACCCAGTTCTTACTCTTATTACTCGTGAAGCTTGCCACCTATCTTCTTTGAGCTGCTGCTGCTTAAGCATTTTGGTTTGGCATGATACTTTCTCTGTTTTGTTATAAGAGACAGTATCAATACTATTTAATAACATAACCAGGCAGTGCTACAGGAATGGGAATATGAAGTTTACCCTTGAGTATATACTATCATTTTATCCCTTGCTCTGACATCTTTTGCATGCAATACACTGTATATTGATGAAGCAACGCCACAGCAACTTCCTCTATCTGCTCTCTCTGCTGCCTAAAAGTGACTGTAATTGTTAACATGATAACTAATCGACAAAAATAGTGCCAGGCACTATTGAATGGCCTCAAACTTCTTTTCTGCGGACACTGAGGACACAGAATCATAGAATCAGAATAGAACCATAGAAAATGAGTGCGCAATATGTTCACTGACTGAAACATGTTCCTTCTCTCTTATATGTTTTGTGTTGAAATCCAGCAGCACTATTCCCTTGAAGTCTGAGCCGTGATATTGAACAAGAACCTCTTCTACAGTATTCATTAAAAGGAGAATTAAAAGAAACCCTGCAGGCACCACTAACTTGTGAGAATCTTCCTGTAAAATATTCATCTTACACTGTAGTTGTAAACAAGTGGTATGCATGCAATCTGCTATGAATGGTCATAACACTATTGTTTTAGTTGAGTAAGCTTTATAGTTTGAACAGCATTGCCATCTTGTGGTTCTGATAGGCTTTGTGAGTCTGTTTCTGCAACGCTTGCTTTATATTGTGTTGGCAAGAATTCCTGAAATGCCTTGGCACATACAACAGAACTGGTATTGCCCCGGTTGCAACACATTCACAGAAAAATATTAAAGCCTACATCTGAATGTAATAAATTATTTCTTCAGTCTTTCAACAAAATAATTTTACCTCCTTTCACTGAAAGAAAGGGAGTAGAGGGTTTAAGTTTTCACTACAAGGGTCATTGTGTAACACCAGGTTGTAAGAGCTGACTTATTAATTATTGCCCAATTTTGAAAAGGAGTTTGTTCCAGTATCCTTCAGCAAGTGTCTGGACTCTTCATCTGTTGGTGCTGGACCATTAATAATCCATAAGATAATCCACAGTCTAAAAGAAACCTGTACTATTTTAAAACAAAAATGATAAGGGCTCGGGGGGGGGTGGGGGGGAGAGAATATAAATCTGAATTCACAGTGGTGGAAGTCAAAATTATTACTTTATTTCTTAAAAAAAAAAAATCATTGTTTTCTGTGCTTGCACAGTTAACACAGTGTAGTGTTAAAGAACCATGCTCTGTCTCAGTTGTGGACAATGTTAATCAATAGTAATGTACCACTGTAACTGGTCACAGAGGACGCCCTGTCAGGGTTCAAGATGTGCCGTGTATTACGCAGTGAATACGACCACCCAGTACTTCAAAGACTGGTTGCAATTAGTCTCTTGATCTAGAAGGCTGAAAATATGCCTTTGTCACCTTTAATGACAGCCAGCAGTGTGCGCTTGCAGCCCAGAAAGCCAACTGTATCCTGGGCTGCATCAAAAGGAGCATGACCAGCAGGTCGCAGGAGGTGATGGTGCCCCTCTACTCTGCTCTTCTGAGACCTCACCTGGAGTATTGTGTGCAGGTCTGGTGTCCTCAACATAAAAAGGACATAGAACTGTTGGAACAAACCCAGAGGAACACCACGAGGATGATCAGGGGACTGGAGCACCTCCCGTTTGAAGATAGGCTGAGAAAGTTGGGGCTGTTCAGCCTGGAGAAGAGAAGGCTGCGTGGAGACCTCATAGCAGCCTTCCAGTATCTGAAGGGGGCCTATGAGGATGCTGGGGAGGGACTCTTCATTAGGGACTGTAATGACAGGACAAGGGGTAATGAATTAAAAGTTAAGCAGGGAAAGTTTAGATTGTATATAAGGAGGAAATTCTTTCCTGTTAGGGTGGTGAGGCACTGGAATGGGCTGCCCAGGGAGGTTGTGAATGCTCCCTCCCTGGCAGTGTTCAAGGCCAGGATGGAGTAAGCCTTGGGTGAGATGGTTTAGTGTGAGGTGTCCGTGCCCATGGCAGGGGGATTGGAACTAGATGATCTTAAGGTCCTTTTGAACCCTAACTATTCTATGATTCTATGAAAGGCTCAAACTTTTTTACTGCACACATTTGTCAGGAAATTAAGAGGTCTCCCTTGTCAGATGAGTTGCTGAGCACCTGGTGTTACATGGTCCAACTGAACAAAACTGGCTGTGATTTCTGTTGGAGCTTAAGAGACAGGTGGGAGTTGTTTTTTTTTTTTTTATCCTCCTCTCTTTTGCCATGAAAAATGTCAAGCTGCTTATTGTCTGCTCAAACATTTACAAATAATAGTAAGTCTTTCCTTAGAACTGCTTACATTCTTGCTATTAAATCTGGTGACCCCATGTGAGTACCACCCATCACTTTTCTGCTCATCTTGAAACTGTTCTACCTTGTATAAAATTGGCAGTGTTCAATATTATGGATTTGAGTTCATGGAGAAATCTGCCAAGTACTGAGCAAGTACCTCTGAAAAACCCCACCTATGTAAACCACTGTAGAGTGTCCTGAACTTGCTGTTTTTCTTTCAGGACACTGATTCAGGTTGAGCATATGAACAAGGATCTCCTGTTTCGCAGGTAAATTCTAGGGACACATTGTCAGAGAGGGAACTTTATTGAGAAAGAGCTTTTCTTGATAAACCAAGGATTCCTGACAATTGAGGATTCCTTCTCAGGCTGTACTAGAAATCTCACATCACACTGATAGTCACTTTCACAATGTTGATTTTTGGTCAAGCTGGTCCAAGTTGAAGTATTCTGGTTTTACTCTCAGGTGATAAATCTAAAAAGATGAGTTTATGGAAGTAGCATTGTAAACTGGAAAATCCTAAAATGAGTAGCCTTCTAATGGAAGTAAGTTAAACACAAGGAGCAGGATCTGTATTTGTGCATAAGTTTCAAAGTTCAGTTCTAATACTTACAGCATTCATGTTTTGTGATTGAGCAGAGAGCCCTGCTAGATGTCTTGTGCTATATGGTTCCAAGTTTTATACCTATGATCAGCAGCCAATCCTCACAATACCATTTTGATTAGTAAGAAACTTTATGGTAGACTGTAAAGCAAATATATGAAAATAAATTGAGATTTTAAAAATCTTTATGTCTTCTGATGGATAAAAACAAAAGACATCAATCTTTCAATATAGAAATACTACAAAATGAAGAGTTATCATGGTTCAGGTTTCAGACCACACTACGCAAGACATACTGAAGATCCTTTACAGCTAGATTCAGAGAGAAAGGATAGGAATTACATTTATTTATACATGAATGTGGCAAACATCTGCCAAAAATCTATCTAGTTATTTTAACCCTCCATTTCAACAAATTTGACCATCTGCTCTGTCACCAGCAAAGATCTTGTTTTAAAAGCTACATCAAAAGGTCACCTGTCTTGTGCACCTTGTTCTCACTTAGCACAAACAAAATTTTAATGGTACCCATCTGCAGGTATGATGGTGACCTGAAGCAGGTGCATACTACTTGAATTAAAATTAGCAGCTGGAGTTGTAGTAAGCAGAATGACAATTAAAATTTTTAGACTATTACAAATTACTGAAATGAATGAATTTATTACTAAAAGGAATGAAATTAATTGCTTCTTTTAACTGCTTAAAACTCTATAAAACTTGTGACACAGGATCTTCAGACACTGATAAAAGCCAGTGACACAGAAATTAAAATACATAAACTTTCCTTAAGGTGATGCTGAATTCTGCAATGAAACTGTTAAACAGAAAGATTCTATCATTTCATGAATATAAAATATAATGCAATAATACAACTATGCCAAATTAGTGTTTAGTATGAGAAACTGAGGTTTTTAATGCTTTTGCAGGACTGTAAAAACTTCATAAAGAGTTTCTCAGAGAAGGAAATCCGACAGAACCTGTAATCATTGGGGACTGACCCCCTGGCTTAGGTTGCCTGAGGAGCTGCGATAGCAGGAAACTCCATGTGTTATTGCAGCCCAGGCAAGCTGAACATGAGCCTCCGAACTGGTGCTGACACTTCGAGTGTTTTGTCACTGTTGACAGAACACAAAGTTTTCTCTAATTGAGGCTGCAGATAATAGTACATTGCTGTTGTTAGGCACTTAGAAGGCAGCCGTTTTTTGCTTTGTGCTTATATGCGATTCACTAGAACTGTTTCGTCTACCATTAGAGTGAATTTGATTCTGTGCACTAAGTCTATTACTATCAGCAAAAAATTACATCACTTCATCAATCTTTCTCAATACCAATTAGCGGTTATTTTCCAGAACAATCTAGTTTAGATTAAGCTATTACGTTATTAGTATTTACATTATCCTGATGATCATGATCCAGCTTCTTTAATTAGGCACATCAGCATGTCTACCTAAGACTGCTTTTTTGTAGACAAGTCTTTTCAGATTTGTTACTTTCTGTGTTCCAAGAAACACCCAGCAGCTGAGTCTTACCTCTGAATTACACATGACCTTTCTGAAATACTTTAAATCAGTCACAGGATTGCATTCAAGGAGTAGGGATTATATGAAATTAAAAGAAATCTAGTTACACTTTGCTACATGCATCTTTGCTGTAGATTAGTAGAGGTAACAGACTAAAGCATGATATTTACTCACTATGAAAGCAAATTCCTTTTCTCTCATATAAATCGAGTATTAGAACAGGCTGCCCAGGGAAGCGGTGGAATCACCACCCCTGGAAGTATTTAGAAAACATGTAGATAAGGTCCTTAGTGATATGGTTTGGTGGTGGACTTGGCAGTCCTGGGGTAGAGGTTGGACTTGATGATCTTAAAGGTGTTTTCCGACCAAGTTGATTCTATGATGGTGCACAGCTTTCCTGAAAAGGTGTAGGCTTCCTATGTACTCATAATTCGTAGGAGCCCTCTGAGAACATTAGTAACAACCTTTCTGAACTACTGATTACAGAGGAAGATGCTGTGCATGTTAACGGCTGGTCTTTACCCAAGAGAATGTACAACCAGACTGACAAAAGCAAAAACAGAAGCAAGGCAAAGGACAAAAGGAAGGTAACTGGGTTGGAGTGGAATGATAAAGATGCACTTGAACTAAACCAGCTTAAGTAGATGACATTGCAATGGAAGAAGAGGGCAAGAAGAGAGTCATTTAAAGCATCTCTCACAGATTCTTTAATAGGCTTGGAAACTGGAAAAGTGGGAAGGTTATGTTGTGTAGGAATCTGCACAGTAAAAGAGATCTGAATTTTGTCTCCTCACTTTAAGGAACATGCATGAGCTTTGTCCTCTGCTTGCTTGATTTATTCTAGCATAGGTTTTTTTCAAGTGAATGGAGTTACACTGTATTTACACCACTATAAAAAAAAAAAATAAATAAAAGAGTCAAGACACTCACCAACCTAGATTGCTTCAATGACAAGTAAGACTACTTTTCTCATGTAGTGGAACTTCATGCAGAAATTTCTACAGTTCTGATTTTAACACTCTGATTTTTTAAATGAGAAGGTGGACAGTAAAGTGTTTTTTTAAAGGCACATGAATTTACCGTTTTATTTAAAGGAACATGATTGCATTACATCGTCTGGACTGATTTGGCAAAAAAAAAAATCTAGGCTTTCCTAATAAAAACATTTTATCATTATACTCACAACAAAGATTACTAAGAATTGTTGATTTTAAAAGTGTGTTTGAAAGTATAGCACTAATTTTCCATACTTTTCTGTTTGAATTCAACATTTATTTACCCATACATTTAGTTTATGACTCTTGTCTGCAGCAAGAAGATTAGGAATATTAATCGGTACAAGCAGAGGCATGCAAAAAGAAATCTCAAATATATTATGGGGCAAGATTAAATGTAATTGTAGTGATGTTTAAGATGATTGAGAGAATGTAAGAAAATTTTAGTTAGGGGGTTGCCCTTCTTTTTTACATTATTTGCTTTAGACTCACTTCTTAGAGAAAAATTTGTGACCCAGTTCCCCTTCCCCCCTGCATTAAAGAGTTTTTAGGCCCACATCATTTTGGTGGTGTCAGCTGCATGTCACCTTTGTTTCTCTGTATACTGACCTCCAGGCATCTTGATTTTGAAATTTAGGCAAGGTAAGTGACCAGATTTTCCCAACCCTGGAATGAGACCAGCAGGAGCTGATTATCTTTTGCTTCATAGAGGAACAGCCATAGTGTCCTCCTTTGCATGGGCCCAAGGCAGTGCAGCCTTCATGAGACACACAGAGGACAAGGCTGTATTTTCACAGAAGGTTGGTGTCCATCTGTGGTCCTGTCAGCACTCTCCATCTGAGACGTTTTAAAAGGTGTAATATGTGAAGGGATAATAAATGCATTGCAAACAGCTCTCTTTTGGTTTTGTATATGTGAGCATCACACGCCTTTGAGGAGCTGTTCAAAAACCTGTTGTCTTTTTTGTTCCTGTGATCAAAGCTGAATGTAGTGCTTTTCCTAATAAAGACATGGGAAAAGTGACCACTACCATGTGAGTGGTATCTCAAAATCCTTTCAGCTAGATCTTGTACCAGTTGTTGAGGTGACAACATTGACTCATTTGTTATTTAGGAAAAAAAAAAAAATTACTATCAGTAGATAAGAAGACATTGACACTCCATTCCTGTGCAGGGGGTAAGGACAAACAGCATGCATTTCTTATTCCTATACTTTTTGCTTTTCTCTTTCAAAAATGTATTATTTACATACCTGGAGAGTATTATGGCAGTGGCTTTTCATGGTGGTAGACATCCTTTACGCTTAGTACTACAGATTATCAGCCTTTCTGAATTGCAGCTGAAAGCATTTCCTTCAGCGTAGCTATGCTTATTATTGTTTCCAGTCTTGTCAGTGCTGGCCTAAATGATTATTAACTAGAAGAAAACAGAAAGAGCAGTCGTTTAAATTTTTAATTATTAGTTCTAGTTCATATTAATTATTCTGAGAAGCATTTGACATCTTAATGAGACAAGGATTTGAGCATAAATGTGATTTTCATTTGTTTGTGTTATTTGAGACTGTTGTAACTGGCTGCTTAATCATCTGTGTCATATAGGTGTATTATTAGTTCTCACTGGGACATTTTACTCAGTTGTCATTAATGGCACAGAATGGCTTTCCCATCATTTTTTCTTGGAATCCTAGATAGAGAACAAGATCAGTCACAGTTTTATCAGTGAATTACATTAAGCTGTTCTTTGCCACTCAGGGATCAATGTATTTCCACCTGAGACGGGTCCCTATTCTACATGTTAGTGCCACTCCACTGTCTCATTTGCCAAATAAATAACAAAGTTCTCTTTAAATTAATGCTATGATTTTCACTGGATTGGCTGCAGTATACTCAGTTTTCTCTTTTGATTTTCCTGTGGAAAAAAAAATGGCTTTCAAGTACCAAAATATAAATAACCACAGTTATTTAAGAACTAAAGAAAATAAAATGGTATTTGAGTTATAAAATAAGTCACGGTTCTTGAATGAAAATTCAGCAGTAACTGGGGAGTTTAGAGGCAGCTACAGTGTGGCCACTTGGTTTCTTATTTGGGCTAAGTAATACAGTAAGGAGAAGAGAAGACAGCAAAAGCTTCTTAGTTATTCTTCTCTTTGATGAGTGTGCACCTGACAGGTTTATAGTAAGAAAAATCAAGGTATACCTTGTGTATCTACCAGCTTTAAAGGAACGAATTCCCATTCGCTGGCTAAAGAAAACCAAAGGATCTAAGTATTTAACCAACAATCCTGCTACAACCACTGCAAAATGAAGATGTGTGCTCTTTTTTTATCTTAGATGTGGAGGAAGAGCAGTAACAAGTATGCAGTACTCCAGTGTCCTCGGTTCAGCAGTAGCAGTCATTTTTCTCCTTAGTAGCTGGTGCAGTGCTGTGCTTTGGCTTTCAGCCTGGGAACAGCGCTGATAGCACCGATG